ATTGAGGAATAGGAAGGATTCACCTCCAACCCTACCCCCCCCACAGAGCCCCCCTAAACACACACACACTCCCACACCACCCCACATCCACACCCCGACAAGCCCGAGCAGGTGGAGACGGCGGCTGCAAATTCCTTCATCAACATCCATTTCGCCTAAAGACATCTTTTAGCAGCGCCTGGAGAAGGGATTTTCCCAGCAAGATTGCTGAACACGGACTCAGCTCAGGGGGTGGCCGTGGGGGTGGGGAGGGGGATCTACTTTTTAAAATACTTTCCCAAATGCCTTATAAGGATCTCGGGGATTCTGCTGTTCCCAGTCAAACCTGGAATTCACTCAGAAGCACAGCTTACCAATGCTTATACGTATATTTGAAATTTCTGTCATTGGAACGTGCAGTTTGGATTTCTAGTTGCTGGATTTAAACGTCCCTTTTTGATTTCAACTGGGCTAGGTGGAATTCCGGAAACGTGGGCCGTGGATAAGATGCCATTCCACCCCGGCACACTTACACACTTGCCACGACAGCCAACGCCTCCTCACTAAAAACCATCTTTTTTCTTGCAATTATTTTTTTAAACTGCGTAAACAGAAACAAACCTCAAAGATTTGTTTCATTCTGTTTTGTTTCAGTTTTTGGTCATTAAAACCCTCTGATGATTCCATTTGCGCTGCCTTTAACCAAGGAGAAAATAACGTAATTTAAACGATTCCTGGACGGTCAAGTCCCAGTCACGTCAAACGAAGAAAAATCCCCTTTGCTTTGCGCATGGAAGAAGAATCGATACAAGCAGAAAACAAACTAGATTAAGAAAATGACAAAAATTAGAGACTGGAGAACATTCTAATTATGTGCAAAGGAGAAATGGACTATTAATTTTTTTAAATCTCAACAATCATGCCCATACAAGGTGCAATAAACAGCAGTTTCTCTGCTCCCTCCCCCTCCCCCGCAAGGACAAAAAATGCATCCTGATTCATAACACATATCACTCTGCTCCACTTGGGAAGGAAAAAAATCCACCCGGGACTGGATGCACTTGCTCCTGTCCTTTGTCCTGTTAGTTGTTTTCAAGCAACTGTGCTCTCCCAGCGGTCACAGGGTGGTAGACCCCTGAGGTGAGTGAGTCAGGGTGTCCCGGCCTCGGGGTTGTGCCGTCTTATTAACCCTGGGAGAGGCCTCGGGCAGCAGAAGCTGAGGGCCAGGCCCCAGCCGCCCCGATCTGAACACGGATTTGAGTCCCCATGTGGTGCTGACTTGCTGAGTGACCTTAAGCCAACCTCCTAACCTTTCTAAATCTCAGCTTCCTCTTCTGCAAAATGAGTTTGATCACAGTAACACCACCTCCCAGGGCAGCCATACAGGTTAAATGGTTGGGGAGTCTGAGCCCAGGGCCCGGCGGGTACCAAGTGCCCGGCTACTATTCGCTGTTACTATTATAATCATTATTCAGTGCGATTTGATACCTGTGTATCAGACGGCTGCTGTGAGCAAGTGCTACCCAAGTACTGGGGCATCTGTGGTCCAGGGGTGTCCAGAGTGAGCAAAGAGGGCAGCTCCGGGAGCCCAGAAGATCCTACATTTTCTCAAATGCAAGCTGATCACATCAAGCCCCTTCTTGAAACCCTGGCCCTGGCTTTCCATGGCTCCTCTAATGAGGACCTCTGGCCTGTGGGCCCTACCCATGCTCCAGCCACACAGGTCTGCGCCCAGAGGACCTCTGTGCCCAGAGATCTCCAGCTAACGAGTGCTGTGCGCCTGTTCAGAGCATGCAACACGTTATAAGAGGTCTCTCTAAGCCTCACCACCCACCTATGAGATGCGTGTTCCTATCCTCCCATCCTGCAGATGAGAACAGTGAGTCACAGAGAAGTGAAGCCTCTTGCCAAGCCCAGCACAGAGAGAGGGTGGTACTGAGATCTGGACACAGGCAGCCTGGCTGCAAGGTTCTGGCTCCTTCTGCCAGGACTGCCTTGCCCTCTCCAGCTGGCTAAACTCACCCTTCACCCCTTAACAAAGCCAGGATTTCCTCAGAGAGGCCTTGGTCAGGGGTCCTGGTCCCAGAGTCCCCTGAAGAGCCTGGATGTCCCCTGGGGGCAGGGCCTCGGTCTTCCTCCCTCAACCTGGTCCAGCAGCTCCAGCCCCGACAGTTCTGCGACCTTGAGCAAGTGGCTTAACCTGTGAGAGGCTCGTCTACAAAATGGAGAGAAAAACAGTCCCTACCTCATACAGTCGTGAAGATTAAATGGGGTCACACATGTAAACTGCTCATCCCAGAGCCCAGCACAGAGTAAATGCTCCAAAATGTTGTTCTTGCCATATCACCGTCATCGCCCAGGGCCTATCACAGGTGCCGCACAAATACTGAGTGAGTGAATGTATGGATGCAGGGGTGGACAGAAAGATGGAGGAATGGAGGGAAGAAGGAAAGAATGGATGGATGCAGGGATGGGCGGAGAGATTCAGGGATGGGGAAGGGATGCAGGGATGGAGGGATGGATGCAGGGATGGAGGGACAGACAGAGTATGTTTGCTGCCAGTCAGTATTTACCCAGCACGGGCCTGGCAGAGGGTGGGTATCAAGGGAGCTCAGCCAAAGGTTAAAGAGTCATCACCTCTCTCCTACCACCCTACAACCCTGCAACAAGGCTGGCCAGGCTGGGCACAGCCCTCGCGAAAGGGGGGCCCCAGGGCCCTTCGCCCATCCCTGCCCCCAAGGAGACGGCTCTCACATGCCCTGCGGTCAGCCGCAGTGGGGGAACTGCTCTGCACCAGGGGACTCAGCCAGGAAAGGCAGCGGCAAGGCGTCCCGGGAGGCACTCCGCAGTGAAATGCTGCATTTCACATAAAGGGGGTTTGCAATGGGCCCTGCTCAGAGAAATCAGGGAAACTGGGAACGCAGAGCCTTCTTTTAATACCCATTTAATATTTATGGAGCCGCAGCAGCAGCAGCCACAGTGCGGAGAACGCAGCCGATCCACGGAGGGGGAGCAGCTATTCCCAAACAAACGGCTTTTAACTGGGAAGCATTTGCACCTGGTCCACAAAACAACACAGCATGCAGGCAACGCGGGGGATGCTGGGACCGCCGTGGGGAGACCACCTGGGCTTCCGTCCTGGCTCTCCGTCCAGCAGAGTGACCTTGAGCAAGTCACACATCCTGGCCAGGCCACAGGTGCCTCCTCCGTGCCAGTGGGCAGGAAGGAAATGGGACTACAAAGAGAAGAGGGGGGCGAACTGATCAATGTGTTTACTTATTCAACCAATATGTACCTTGGCCGTACGTGCCGCCACTGTTTCAGGTGCCAGAAAGAGCAGTGAGAGAGTCAGCAGGTCACTGCCCTCAAGGAACTGGACACGGGGGCGATAAAGCAAACACAGAGGTAAATAGAAAAGATGCTTTCAGATAATAATACGTTATGTACCTGGAAGAAGACGGCGCAGGTGAGGGAATCACAAGTAATGGGGAGAGGAGGCTTCAAACTGGTGATCAAGAAAGGCCGAATTAAACAGGTAACATCACCTCAAAAGCGAACGCTGAGAGGCAGCCAGCCATGCCCAGACCTGGGAAAGAGAACCAAGGCAGAGGGAACAGCAAGCGCAAAGGCCCTGAGGCAGAGGCAGCAACAATAAATGGTCTCACTTGTTATTTTTCTTGGCCACTGGTGTGCCTCTGCAATGGAGAAGGGCCTGGACTCTGAGGTCAGAGGAAGCAGGGTTCAAATTTGGTGCTGCTTCGCTGTGGGACCCTGGGCAAGTCACTTGACCTCTCTGTGCTTCCGCTTCCTCATTGGTCCCGCTGAGAGGGAACAGAGGGGATGACGTGAGCCTTGGGCCTGCCCCTGCATGAAGGCGCAGTCAGCCCAGATTGAGGGAGTTGAAAAATTCTTGAAATTTCTGGGTTGAAAAATTCTTGTTGAGAAACTCCCTCCTTTTTTCAGAGCTCGCTTTTCAAAAGTCTTTATTCTTTTACAAAGTGGTTTCTCTTTCCATTTTCCCCTCAAAGGCATTTATTTGTCCTCAGAAGCCTTGGGTCAAGTCAGGCCAGGAGGAACCTGGACGTCACTGAGACTCCAAGCAGCAAGTAGCTACCAGGCACAGAGGGTACAGAGAGCTCACACCTAGGAAAGAGGCCAAGGCAGCCCCCCCCCGCCCCACTGCCCCCACAACCTTGTCTGACCCCCTCCTGCGGCATCACCAAGGCAACACACCACACCAGCTCCCAGAACCAAGG